AGCTACCTGATCCAGGTTTAAGATTCTCCCCACAAGGCCTTACTCTGTGCAAACCGGCACACACAGCGCGGCCTTTGAAATGATCCCCAAGCGACTAGAATACTGACCGCGTCACGTTCAGCCAACAGAAGTGCAAATTAATCTCTGTGAAAGGAAGAGGGATCCAGACAAGACAGCTCAGACTGCCGTTCTCACGTAATGAAGTTCTGAAGTTAACCTTAAAAAGCAATGTGAACCATCAACTCTCTGCCGAGGCCTCGGACTCAGAAATCTGACATAATAAAACTCACAATCAGGCACCGATCACAACGGGACTCGTGTTCCAGCAACAAGAAAGTCCTGCTGGATTTTGTCTGGAACAGAATTACACACAATGCTGACCTTCCAGAGACCGAGATCAATTTTCTGCTTCTGGTGGTGATTGTTTCGATCAAACAACACATTTAAGGCAGATGAGTCACCTCCTCCTGTTGTTCGTCATAGACAATTAGCCTTTATGGATCTTGATCATCATGGAAACACATCAACCAAGTCCTTAACAATGTCAAAGTGCACAAAAGTGCTACAACAACAACAACAACAAACTTCTAAAGAGTTTGGAAACCAGCTTAGCTCAGACCAGCCACACACTTGTTTAATATAGACAATATGTCCCTCAACAACATTCCAGATTTCTGTCCAAACCCAGCAGTCTCCACTCTCCACAGAACAATGATGGATATCTTCTGGTTAATGTTCAGAGCAGAGATGGCCAAAAACTGCCCGAGGTATCAGCGTGAAGTTGAATAATGAATCTGTTTTTGTAACGTGTTCCAAATGCTCAAATAAAAACACACACACACAAAAAAAAAGAGCAGGAGAGGTCATGTTCTTACAACTGATTTTCATTTCAGAAAGGCAAGAAGTTAAAGTGATATCTGGCGTCAAGCGCAACATTTTATTTTGGAGACAATAAGTCACTTAATTTCCAGAAAATAACAACAAAACCCATCCAACTGTGCAACCATAGTCTAGACCCACTTATCCTTGCAGGGTCATTGGGCGCCTGGTGTCTAGCTCCAGCACTCATTATGTGAGAAGTAGACTACCAGATTGCCAGTCCACCACAGGACAACACAAACAGCTATGCACACAGCCAATCGTGCCGAAGCACAACCTGGAGACCAATTAATCTAAAAGTCGTGTTTTTGGACTTGTGGGAAGAAGCCAGAACCCACAAAACAAACATGATGTAGATTAGCTTACCTTCAAAATAGGTTAGCGTTAGCTTTAGCATGCAAGCAAACACAATTGTTTGAGACTCTTATTTGTTCGGAACGTCTTAAGCAAGCAAACAAACAAACAAACAAACGCTAAAGCCAGGTTAAAACAATATATGCTGAGGAAATAGTGTTTGCGTGTGAAGTGTCTGACATGCTTTATGTCAAATGTGGATCACCTGGGAGAGCGGAGGAGCTGGGGAGGAGTTCCATGTCTGTAAGCTTGGCATCAGGCAAGGTTTCCAGCTTAAAGTGCTTCCAGCAGTGAAAATAGCTAAGCAGGCAGGGTAGATGATGTCTCCTTTAACAGACAGGGGATAAGGTGTGGCCTGACTGTAGCCTAGTGAGCTTCTGGTGTGCAGAACTAGTCGTCTGCCATATGCTGTTCGAAAAGGGCATCATCCTATCTGAATTGTGTTTTCTTAAGAAGTTTTTATAGAGGGGATTTGCAGCCAGCAATCTTCCTACTCGTCGTCCACACATAGATTTCTCAATACGCTCCATTATTTTAAGCACACAAAAAAAAAAAAACAATCAGATTGACATTTCCCTCAAAGTGAACCTTTCCTTCCAACATACTTTTATTTGTGCTGTGTTTTCAGATAAATTCCAGTCTGTTCAGCTGTAAATCAAGACCTGGGTCAGTCTGCTGACCACTGATGGTGGTCCAGCTCTCCCAGTCAGTAACAGAGATGCATGACCTCCTTCTTGGGTGGCCCTTCCAGTGGCTCCCAATGGCCCTGTGTATTAAGCCTGCTCATAAACGGAGGAGGATTTCTCCAGAGAGATGCTTTTAAAGAAACAAAACTTAAAACTCTCAGTTTCTAGCAAGACATGTGTAACTAATATCAGTCAGCTGCAAATAAATGATGATGTATTAGCAGTCCGAAGCTAGCAATCCCTTTGTGTGATAATTCAGTGAATTATTTGCTGTTTCCCGCTATTTCTTGAAAAATAATTGGGCACACGTGTAAGAAACAAAAACCAAAGAAAGGATGACGGCTGAGGCAATAAGTGAAGTCTTCATATTTCAAATTGACTCGTCTTCCTCTAGATCTCCAACGTCTTCATATTTAGCCGACACAAATGAAAGACTGGTAGAGATATATGAGCTTAAAGAAAAATATTGATTGTAAGGCAGCGTCAACATACTGGTGATGTGCAGGACAACAGCAGATGGCAACCATCCCCAACGCATTTCAGAGACACAGCAGTGAATGAAAACTGAATGAAGCAACGGGAGACATTTCAATTTTATGGGGGGAAAATATTGTTTATGGTGTTATAAAGATTATATCAAGGCACTGCAGCAGCTAAATTATGCCATGTCCTGAAATTCCTCCACATATCTTCAAACCACATCCCCTTTTTAATGAGAAGACTATGTGCTCATTTGCATGAAACGTTAGTCTACATAGCATGTTTTACTGGATGAGGTTTTAAGTGATCAGTCTTCTCACACATGCTTAGGAGGAGTCACACGTAGTAAAATAGGACGCGAGATCTGAAGAGTCTGTTGACCACATCCCGAGGGACATTCTGGGGGGGGGGGAAGCAAGGGAAATTTCACCACATGTGTCAGTAAGTTTTTAATGTAGGAATCAGACCGTGCCCATGATGTGTTTGTGTGTCTCTGGAGCTGACGTCGCCTGCGTAACCCTCAGACAACCACAGTTTAACAGACACATGCCCAGGCAAACACACAGGAGCGCTGCAGTCGTGGACAGAACCCATTTCTCATTCTCTGTCAGCGCCTCGGCGAAAAACAAAGAAATGGATGGAGCAAGAACCATGCTGCGAAAAAACCAAGTAAACAACTTTGGTGTACATGTTTACTGTATGTTCAAAATAGTCTGGTCTGAAAGGAGGGGGGAAAAAAAACCAAAAAATTCAAGTCCTGTTTGGAGCCTTGTGAAACTAAACAGAAAGCAGTGATTAAATGTGTATAATTCAACAGTAATTAACATGAACATAATTACTTCTAATCATTACCACAGAGTCTTCCAAAAGGTTGCGTGTGCAGCTCGTTGCCGTTTATGCTGGCAGTCTTCAGATGTTTTCAGAGGAAGTAGGAGTAACTTTAGGAATGTAATTATTTCCAGCAACAAAAAAAAAAACAAAAAAACAATGTAAATCTGGTATCTAATAGAAGTTCAACGGGCAAGTCTTGAGAGAAGCTGTAACTGTTCAGAGAAAAACAAAATAATCTATTCGTTGCATGAAGAACAGTACATCCAAATGGTTAGTTAAACTGCTATAGTCAAAAGCTGAAAACGTTTTTTTTTTTCATAATTTTTGTGACGTTATGTCACAAAACCATTAAATCAAATGGGCGTCATTGTCAGTTAATCATGTGACAGGTAGCACGCAACAAAACAAAACTGTTTTTCTTAGTGGAAGCCGTCTACTTTATGAGCTGCTCTTAACTTCTGCCTGCCTGGCTTGCATTTCAGATGCTGTGCCGTTCCATGATCTTAATGGTGTTCTCCAAACAGGTGAGGTCATCTTTACCGAGTGTGGTGGCAGTCATGTTGGGTCATCAGAATCCAGCGGTTTTCAGAACAAGTAGAACATATCTCTCCGTACATCTAGAGACTGACATCAATAAACGCAGAGCTAAAAATCAGTTTACAGATTTGTGGCATAGGTCTCTTAATTGTCCAAGTGACTGCTTACTTTATCAAGACTGGTGGGTATTGCTTCCTCAATGAAGAAGTTGGTGCAGATCAATAAAGGGAAGATGGCTACATTATGGCATAATGTTAGCATATTACAAAATCCTAATGCAACCTAGCTAATTCAGAAAACATGTAAAAGGACATCCTCCTTTTTTTCTTTACTTCTTTATTGACATTCAGTTGGATTGGATATGAAAACCCAATTCCTCAGCCTACTCCATAGCCCTAAAATACATTTCCTAATGCTTTTTGGAAGCTCTAAGAGGGTTAAAAATATGGTTCTCTGGTGCTTGAAAAGTAAATATTTCAAGTAAAACAAAGGGGTAAAAGTTGAACCTTCATAAATACTGACAAAAATTGTATTTGAAGGTGGTTTTGCCATTAAAATGTTTTTATTTTTTACTTTAAAAAAGTCTACCTCATATTCCACCATATCCATCACAAAAATATCACACTGTCAAATAACTACATTTGATGTATGGATTTTGTTCAATAAATACCGTCACGTCTTCTAAACAAGCAGAGGGAATAAAATTTCAACTGTTTTCATAACGTTTTGGACCTGTACCTTGCACAGACTTCTTCTCATGGCCGTTTTGATGTGAATCTGTAGGATGGAACCATAATATATTGCTCTACAGGAGAACTGGAATTACAAATGCCACTTCAGCCAAAGTTTTGAAAACTGGAAAAATTTTTATCTGATGCGATAATAAGTTGGTGATATACTCTGAAAGCTGAGTTGCAGGCAGTGTTCATGAAAAGCATTTACGGTACATCTTTGTGTAAACATTTCATTAAAATGTTTTTAAAAAATCATATGTTATCTTATGTTGTTATGCCGACATCTGTAGCTTTCAAACCCACATATGTAAAACTTTATTCTCTTTTTTGTAGTTAGCACTATTTTCAGGTGTGCTTGTCCATAAATTATGATAAGCCCCCTTTATACCTTATTCAGTAAAATACAGGTTGTTTAAAATGTTTTAAACCTATTTTAAACAAAAGTGGAAATTGTAGGAAAGTGGAATGTAGGAAAAACAAAACATTAGGGACAAAAACAAAAGTGCACTAAAACAGTTTAATTAATTTAACAGCATTCCATGTATTCCCTTCAACAACTTGTTTTTTTTTCCCCATCTGAAAAGCACAAATTCTTTTAACAGTCCATGTCGATAAACACTTTGATTAAATGGGTGTGCTGTCCTGATAGTGTAAATCTGCACTAGGTCTAAAAAAAAGGAGTCCGTTAGGAACGAAATGCTTCTTGTTACTGGTCTCTATACACAAGTTCAATATCATGCTTCAATGCAAACAAAAATAAACAGCATATCCCTTAGTTTCAAGTAAGATTTTCTCAGTTGATCATTCAGTTACAGTACAATGTTTATGAAACAGGGTGAAAAAAGTATACAATCTTTTTTGTTATATTCATTCATATGCTTTACAAAAATAATCATCTTTGAACTGTTATTCAAAATATCCAGTGTTTTGCATAATTGTTTGATTGGATCAAGTCTTCTGGTTTTCATCACTATAGGCCTGTAAAAAAACAAGAGAGAAACACATCAGTTTCCTGGAAACTTGAATGAGTCACATTTAGTCACCATTAGTAATAAGAAACTGAGGCAATTATCATAAAAGAGGTATTTAATATTTGAATAGAAAAATGTGAGGTGGAAAATGAGGCAGTTCGGAGGAGGTTCCAGTCTCCAGATTTTACAATATGGAAGAGTTCTGGGACTGCACTGAGCTTTGCGTTTGGTTGCTGTGGCAATCTTCTGGCGTCTCCGATAGCCAAGTAGCAGCAGCAGCAGCAAAACAGCAGCAGCAAAACAGCAGCAGCCAGCTCTCTGATCTCCCTCCAGACTGGCACACTCACACTGGGAACTGTGGGCACCTCTGAAACCACAAGAAGGGGAGCCACAGACAACCTCAAACCAGACAGACTTTCTCCTTCTCCCAAATGTTGATGCTGGGAGTCGACGCTGTCTGTCGCGTGTAAACTCAGAACCAAAGTGACTTAATGGAACTGAGCATCATCGTTCCCGGCTCCGCACACAGGCGGCCTCGGCCAATCGCGCTCGAGAGCTTCTGTGTCCTCCATTTAGCCTGTGACGGTATTCCACTGGGCCATAAATGAAGGTGGAGGATGGCAAGTCAACCATCGGCAGTTATTTGGATAACATGTGGCTCTACAAATGAGGTCATGTAAAGACGCAGAGGCTCTCATTTCAAGACGGTAGCTTATATGAAGCACTGATTGTCTTTTTGCAGCTCAAATTACACACTTTTGGATGCAAGAGTGACTCTTCAGATTTTAGGCTGTAGTTCCTCAATCAACGATAAAGATTCTTACCTGAAAACACGGATCTTTTGTTGGCATCCCGTGAACTACCTATGGGGAAAAAACAAAAAACGCACATCAGAGTCACCAGAGTTCATTTATGCTTAGGAATAGCTAAAAGTGTGAAGAAAAAATAAAATCTTGTTGCTCTTCTGAGAGAAATGAAAGAAAAGGCATACCACCTCTAAAGAAAGAATTAAATGACTTGTTTGCTTTATCTGTACCTTTCAATCCCTCTTCCCCCGACAGACACAAAATAATTGTTTAAGGATAGCATGAGTGTCCTGCCAATTGTAAAACCCTCTTTACACCAGATCAACACAGATTCAGTGTCCTCAGAACATCCATGACAATTTAATTGTTGGATAAATTCCTATTTGATGGCAAGCAGGATGGTTCTCATACCTTAACACTGGCCAAAAATGTGTTGTTTTTTTTACTTACATTTTTACTTCTTCTTACATGTCCATCCTATCACAACGCAACTTCCACAAGCAATACATTTGCACCGAGATGTTTCCTCACCAACTGTAGAAACTCCTTGTAAATATGGGAGGGGTTTTTTTGCCCCTCCAACATCAGTTTCAGCATTGATGTGGAAGGGTATGCACTCCCTTTGCTTCTCAATAGCACGAGAGCATGCAGATGAGGGGGTTCTTTTGAAATGATCTCTCTATAACTGCAGTGAAAAAGCATCATGCACACAAAAAATGTTTTTGTTTTTTTTAAATCTACAAGTTGCTGTTTGTGCTTTTTTTACACTTTAGTTGTCTTTGAGAATGCAACCAATACAATGGCATTTCAACAGTAGCCAGAAAGCCTCACAACTTTACTTTGGACACATCTGCTGCAATTCTGTTTCAGTGTACTAATGACGTCACGTCGTGATTTTCTGAGAAAAAGGGTGGACAAAATTTTACCCTTTCTCCCCATCCTGAAATTAAAGTCGAGATTGACTTTGAGTGTTTATATAGAAGATGACTTCCTTCAGTTAACCAGCATACACTCACTTTCAATGTATTTGCTGTTTTGGGGATCATGATTGTTCATTTCAACTGTTTGGAGATATGCTAACATACTAGCTGTGGTGCCAAGAAGGCTATAACGAGCTACTTGGAGAGTTGCCAGCACAGAGTAGACAGGACCAGGCCAGGTCCTTCGAAAAAGTCAAATCCTTCTTAAAACTTTCAGTGGGGTAAATTTCACCAACAAACAGCCACTCCAGCTACCAGTGTTCTCTAAGTAGCACCCAGGACCATTATATGCAGGTACCATAATAAGTCATCACCATTTCGCCATTAGAAGTTTTAGTTTATGCTTAAAATTGTCAGGAACTATCCTGCTATATTGGGGACAAATAAAGATTTTATTGAATTACAGTGAATTCAAACTGTTCTTGATGGACCTCAAAAGACCTGCAGAGTTGCATGTTACAAGACGGTGTTAGTGTGTGGGAGGAGGGGGGAGGCTAAAAGAATAGAAAATTAAAATTGGCAGAAGCACAGACATCTGTAATTTGTTGCCAATAATTTAGGCTTAACAAATATGCAATTAGGGTATTCAGAGCACAGATTGTGTGTGTTTCTCTCGAGGACATTAATGATGTTTAAGCTCAAGCAACCAACACTGTTACGTCTCCAGCAAACCTGTTTCTGATAACAGGCAAATAAAGTAACACAAACCACTTGTGAATGCAGTAAATAATGAAGACTATGCAGGCCAATAAAAACGAACAAAAAAATAAATAAATATTTTCACTGAGCGTGTCATCTAAGGTATTTTTACGGATGTGCGGGAAAAAGCAGGTTTCACACACAGCTAGTGAGAAAAAATGAGCAACTTTCACGTGCAATATGTGGTATGCGGTCATAACGTTGTGGAAGTTTGTAGAATAACAGGAAATAACTTTGGATTTTCCACAACTATGGAGGTCTCGCTTTGGACACGTCAGCAGGGATTCTTTGTGAAAGGTTTAGACGCACTAATGATGTGAAGTGATGTTTCACTGAGAAAATAGCATAAGGAAAGACAAATATTTTCGTCTCTTCCTAAAATAAACCAATCTAAAGTTATCCGTTTCATTTGTTGCTATAGGATGTTGATATTCAGTATTTGGAAGTAATTCAAAACACAATGGATGATTCAATTTTTATGTTACTTTGTTCATTAGCATTTTTAAAACTCAAAAGCTACCATGTTTTTGCAGCTTTTGAATTGCAGAAACAACTCAAAAGCTGTTTTAATTTTCGAGTTCAACAGCTTTAAACTCAAAGCTTACATCCAGACATCATTTTATCTGATGTATAGTTTTATGCATCATATAAAACTATGATATATCCTCCTGTGTCCTGATTATGGATCTTATTTTTTATATGATTTTGTATATTTTATTGTAAAGAGGGAAGGAAATGCCAGTCACAGATTACCATATCAATCATCTAACCTTACAATATTGGCATGAAAAGAAAATGCATAGCAGAAGCTATACAGAATATCTGTAATCAACTTGATGGACAGAAAGGGGTTGCCTTGTCTGATGCTGCCTTAAAAGATATGCAATGAGTTACACAGAAGAAATGACCAGCATAGCAGCATCAGAATGAAACATTTATCTTTTCATTGTCATCACCTTAAAAGATTACAGGAAAGTCTGACCAAGCAACTAACAGCTGGGGGTAATGAATCCAACTCAGAAAACTGAGCATAAACCTTTCAGCTACGGGTGTCACAACCCGTCGAAGCATAAAACTCGCTCTGGAAAACACTAAAGAATCTGATTAAAGGGTTGAATGTGTCCTCTGAAGACGATTTTCTTGTTTCCCTCTGACTAATAACATCCTTCTCATGCACTCACACAAAGACACACAAACCAGATTTGAGTGAACAGTCCTTCGGGGCTTCTCTCACGCCATAAGGTGCTTTGTCACGACTTGTGGCTGCTGGGTTTCTCTCTCTGACTTTCTGAGCCACGTCTAATTCAATCTGTGCTTAATATCCTTTCTCAATATGCCACTGTCACTGCCAAGGGCTCAGAGCAGGGCCCCAGGGGCCATTAGGAAAACCTATCCATTTATTGTGCAAGATACGCATTTGGCAAAACAACGACCCTCCAGAGTAACTTGTCAGAGGGGTTATATTTCCATGCGACAACCACTTACTTGCCTGCATGATCTTTCCTATGGCTAGAATTCTTGTGTCATAACGTCAGCGAAAGCCATCTTTGCGAGTCCCACATGCAGTTAATTTCCAGTTTGAGTAACTGATCTTTGTTTACTGTGAAAACATAGTTACACTTAATTCAAGGACAATTCTTATTTCGTGCATACATCATGTTTTGGACTCAGTCATTAACAAACCAAAGTCAGAAGTTGACTTAAATGTGGAGATGGTGGTCTGGCTAATGGCTTAAAAAAAATTTAATCCAAGCGACGACGCAGAACATTGGTCCAGGACAAGAGGTGCTGAGAAGCACGTTAGACGACTGTAAAGGTTGGTTTTGAAATTCACACTGGTTGTAATTTCCTCGGGGGGGAAAAAAAAAGGAAATACGGAATGAATTAAATTGCAAATGTGAAAAGATAAATGTTTTGACTAACCCCAAGTACTGTGTAAATTTACAACAAAGATTTTCCACTTTAGAGCTGGGATACAGCGCCTCACGAAAGTACTTTTTCAGACTTTGTCACATCACAACCACACTCTGTTTTGCATCTTGTTGAGATTTTATGCAACAGATACAAAAAGTAGTGTGAACTTGTGATTTGGAGGGAATATAGTGTAATGCATTGTAGCATACAAGATACTAGTAGTGCAGCATCCATTGGCATTCAGAACATGTTGATTCTAAGCCTTCTAAAAATGTAAAACAGAAATAAAAAAAAATGAAAATACGTTGTCAAAATCAACAAAATAGCATGTTGTAGCATTTACCATAACAGAACAAGGTATCTGCACTGGCTCTTGGCCAGATATAGATGAGAATTTGTCCTGGACCAATAAATATACCTGAGCTAGGGTCTCTTTTTTTCAATGTGGGGTAGGGTGATGTCTTGGTTGTGCAAATTAACCATCCGTTCCTTTCAGTCTTTCATCTTATTGGCCAAACCCAATGACAAAAGCTTGTGAACAGCCAATAAAGGCCGGTATGTTAATCAGCTGGGAGTTTCCCCCACACCAAGAAACAGTTCAGATTTACTCTGTAAACAAGCTTCATTTAAACACAAAGCTTAGCATTTTAAAACCTTCCAAGCTGCAATTTAAACATGGGTGCTTTCTTCATGGCTTTGACTAGTATGTCTACCGGAAAAACAACAATTACAACTTTCTTGGAAAACTATGTTTTTATCTCTTGCCTTCAGGTCACAACATGAACCTGGAAGTTTAACCTCCAGAGAGAGTGAATCCCATGTTTATATCCAAACGATACTTAAGTTTAACACCTTAATATAAACTAAAGTAGTTTTTTCAACATCTGTGGAAAAGGGGGTTTCCTGATATGTAGGTATGGTTGTTTAAAACACAAAGAAAGCAGAGTCATCTTGACATAAATTAAAATACTAATGATCTAACAATGTTTTTTTTTGTTTTTTCTCCATTTCTCTCGAGCAACTTGTCCCTGGTTTTACTGTGGCGCGTCACAAATGGCATCACGAAGACCATGACGACCGCAGGAGAAAGACGAAACTAAACATGTGGAGACATTTAAATTAGAATTAGGTTATGAAGCAATATCTCAAGCTTTGAAGATCTCGCAGGGCACTGTTCAATCCATCATCTGAAAATGGAAAGAGTTTAGCACATCTGCAAAACCTACCAAGACATGACCATCCTCCTGAGCTGACGGGCTTATTATCCAGAGAGGCAGCCAAGAGGCTAATGGCAAATCTGGAGAAGCTGGAGAGATCCACAGCTTAGGTGGGAGAATTTGTTGATGGGTCAGCACAGGAACTATATCTGGTTGCAACACAATGGAGCCCCGGATATTTGCTGTTCGGTACTTGTGGATTTTCTGTGGAGCATAACTCCAAAACCCCTCTATTCACAGATTTTTGAATAAGGGAATATCTGAAATATTCGAAAAAGAATGCAGCCTGGGAACCTGAAATACTTTGGTGCAATTCTACTCAATGTGCTATTGGCTGGCTCTGGCACTGCAGTATGAAAACTTACTCAAAACACTTTGTTATTTCAGCGATACCAACATCAATAACAACAATCTGTATACCAGACACTGAAATATTTTAAACAGTACAGCTACAATATGCCAAATTATTCTTGATGTCGCCAAAACCCAAAATTTGTACCTGTGATATGAGCTACAGTCAAGTGAACAATTTCTACTTAATTTAGTTTCTGCTTGAAAGCAAAATCTTGATTAGTTTTCTATGTAAATTTAGGCATTAAGGAGTTAGTCTTTGATGCAACCGTCCAGGTGTTCGACTCCAGGCCTAAGGCATTGGGTAAATGCTTCTCCTTCAATCTCTACCTCTTTTCTTGTCAGGTTGCTTCAAATGAAGGCCAATAGCAACATCAAACTTTATTATAACTCAGCCTCTACATTCTTATGGCTGGTAGAGTCACATGCTATGGATTATTTTTGTTGGTGATTCGCATAAAATCCTAGTAAATACACTGACATTTGTGGCTTTTAGGTGAAAAAATGTGAGCAACTTCAAGGGGTGAAAATACTTCAGCACTTTAGAGTGTTTGATGGCATAATTAACATAGTTACGATATCTTTAACTTGTAGAAGTGTCATATGTAATTGCTTAGCAATTAAGTAGAAAACCCCATCTGGCTTTAAAGTCATTAAGGCCTTTGCTTTAGATCCCCTTCTTGGGCAGGTGTTGCACTGTCAGGCTCAGCACTAAGGCTCTAAAACATTCCTCTCCATGTGTTTTTTGTTTGCTCAAATAAATCTGTTCTCTTCCAGAAATAAGCTCTGGAGCAAGACCTTAAATAATGATGAAATATATCATTTTTCATTGAGAGAGCGTCCAGGCTGTAAATTCTTACCCATATCTCAAAGGATCAGAGATGTTTAGCTAAACATTAACCAGTGCTAAAACAAGCACAAACCTGACAGCTCCGGTTGGATCACAGAGGACTGAGAAGTACTTAGCTTCCCCTGTGGAGGCCCTGGCTATTGGACCGTAAGGCCCTCATGCATCTGTGTGATTTACGAACCGGAATGTCAGAGGAGGGGGCAGACCTCAGTCGAAGCTAATGGATTTGGGTTTGTTGTGCTGCAGCCAGAGCTTTACTATGAACGATTTATGATGTTCGACAACAAATTCAGGTGGATTGACTACATCTTGATTCAGATGTAGTGCCACCAATGAGGCCAAAACAGGAAATTTCACATGAAAACCTTCCAACCCTTGTTAGAATCCCCAACAGTGATTTTTTTTTTTTTTTTTTTTTTTTTTTTTTACAAGGGGGGATTTTTTTTTTTTTTTTTTTATGGGGGGGTTATTTTTTGGGGTAAAGGGACACGGG